TATACTAAAAGAATATAACACTGATACAACCCTTTCCTAAGCTATGCAATATTCCCTTGTTCTGTTTGAACAGATGCTGTATGAGAACAATGAAATGTTTTGGAATTCTCATTCTTCCTAATGTTATGCATAGTTCGTTATAATCCACACAGTCAAGTGTCTTTGGGTAGTCAATAAAATGAAAATAAACATCTTTCTAGTAGTGTTCGACCGGGTTGACTAGAGAAACAAATCCAGAGACACTCAAATATCTATAAGAATTATTTTTGTATCAAAGAGTATTTGCATATTAAGAGAACATTCCAGCCCAGTCCAGCTCAAGTCTGCAAGTCCCAGGTTAGCCCATAAGTCCCAAACGAGTCCATAAATTCCTCTTCAAACTCCTACAACACATGCAATGGTGCAAAATGCAGGAAGATCACAAGTCAGTGGGTGCAAAGTCTTGCGGATCCGATGTTAGTGGAAGCATCTCAGCACTGGTATGGGTATCCATACGGCTCCTCCAGCTCTCCGAGTGTGGCTTTCAACAGGAAGGTGTAGCAAAAAGAGAGTAGTCTTGCAGGTCTCAGCAAGTCTCTGCATGGTCTGTCAACAAGTAAACCACAGAAGAGCGAGAGAAGTTCCCAGAATCCTCATGAGAAGGTCACACTCACAAGGAGGCATCATCAGGCTGTACCTGATTGACAGACTAGACTCCTCCCGCTTCATTCTTAATACCCTCAAGCTGACACGAGATAATGTAACTATACTCCTGTATTCTCTTCTTTCAGCCAATATCCGTATGACACCAGCAATATCCCTTTTCCTCATTCTCTTCTCAAGCATGCTTGAATTTCTGGCAACTCCCTGTCGATGTACTATTACAACCATTGAAAAATTATTTTCAGCAAAATTGTCCTTGCGTGTGGTATTAACAATATTGTTTAATGATTTCCACATTTGGTTGGGTTACTTTCTTTGAGGCGGGCACAAATATGGATCATTTCCAGTCTGCTGGCCATAAAGCTATCTTCCAAATTTCTTGGGATAGCAAGCACCACTTCGCTGAAACTTCACTTGATATTCTGTTGATTACTGGACTGTTTTTTCCTCTAATGACTTCAGTTCAGCCTAGATGTCCGCTCTTGATCATATGCCACCTCTTTGAAATGGTTGAATGTTGACCATATTACATGTTTGTGTAAATGTATACGTGTAAAAGGAGGCTTCAGAAAGTTCATTGAAAAATTGAATTATGGACAATGGAATTATTCCATGAATGTTTTGAAGCCATGTGTATGTATGTATGTGTGTGTGTGTATATATATATATATATATATATACACATATGTTTGAGCAACAATAGGCTCCAACATAAAAATAATTTTAAGGATGACACAGGACAGGGTAACGTTTCATCAAGTTGCACATAGCATCACTATGAGTTGGAAGCAACTCAACAGCACCTAACATTTATAAATGTATATATGTGTGTCTATGTGGTTGTGTGTCTGTAATCTATCCCTGCTGAATGCAATGCAAAGTCTTTCTAAAAACATGAATTCAAAATTCTGAACAACAGAAAGTGGTTATGGTGATTGGCAGCAAATGCTTTTAATGCTGAATTGTTTTGCAACATAAGATTATGAGAGTTATATAACCTCTTCAATCATTCCAGTATTCAAAAACAGAGCTAAATTAGACACCAAGGTACTTCTAAGCTTGAAAATGTATTCTAATAAATTAAATTGAAAAATTGTATACCTTCCTAATAAAGGCAATTATATTTATATATAACACTTATATATAAGTATATATATAAAACACTTATATATATAAGTATATATAACATATATATAACCAAAAAGTCTAAGTCACTGCCCTGAATATGATTCTGACTCATAGTGAACCTCTAGGACAGAGTGGAACTTCCCCTGTGGATTTCTGAAACTGTAATGCTTTTCGGGAGTGGGAACCTTGTCTTTCTCTCATGGCGTGGCAGGTGGTTTTGAACTACTGACCTTAAAATGAACAGCCCAACTCATCAGCACTATGCCAAACCCTGGGGTGATCCACATTTATAATTACTTGAGGAAAACATAGGAGATGTCATGCCTCAAACTAGAACTGTTTTCCTTCAAGAAAGATGTTCTCTGGTGTTGTTCTTGCAAATATCAAAATGTTTTCCTGCACAACGATAATGCTGAGTTCACATCCTTGCTCAATGAGTTGCTTCAGAGAATTGACAAGATGCCTTCTTTCATTCTTTTGTAGTTCAATTTTTTCCCACAGAAAGTTCATTGAAAAATTGAATTATGGACAATGGAATTATTCCATGAATGTTTTGAAGCCATATGTATACATATACATATATGCTTGTTCATAATTTCTCTACTTCATAATTACTAAATGTTTAGTATCCATATAAATGAGGTAACTTTCACCTATCCAAGGAATCTCTTCTTTGTTGCCCTATATGGATATAGCAAAATCCACGTTGATGGGGAACAATCAAGAAATCAACTTGGTAGATGGGGAAGGAACTGAATAATTATAAATGAAAGTGTGCAGAGAAAATATAAAGTTTTCAATTTGGCATCAGTCTTTGACATCTAAACCTAACATAATATTCCACTGTAAACCCATCTTGTCTCTCCTCTGTCCATACAGGATATTTTGATGGCTGATAGGATCCATGTTATTCAGTAATCAGAATTGTAGTTTATTTCCAATGTCAGCCAGCTGATTCTAATCCTGCCAATCGGGCCAATGGTACCATTCAACTCTCACCTCAAAAAAAGTCTTTGCAATCAGAGAGATATGAATTTGTCTTAAATATGTTGTTGTTGTTGTTGTTGTTGTTGTTAGGTACCATTGAGTCAATTCCGACTCACAATGACCCTATGTACAACAGAATGAAACACAACATCCCACAACACCCTCACCATTGCTCTTATATTTGAGCTCATTGGTACAGCTACTGTATCAATCTATCTTATTGAAGGTCTTCCTATTTTTCGCTGCTCCTAATTCCAACGATGAATTGATGCTTGCAGTCATTTCTTCTCATTTGGAGTTGTGCCCCATCAGCAAATGAAGGACCTGTGGCTCATTAAGGCTTTGCTCCAGCCACTTCATGATGATCAACTCTATTTTGAGAAAGTAGCTCTGCCCCCATCAAATTTCGTGTGGCTTGCAACCTGAGGGGGCCCATATTCTGGCCCCATCTCTGAAACTGTTCTGCTTCTAATCATGTGGTTTTCAGTAGCTAACAATGTTTTCATGCTAGCCACAGGATTTTCAATGGCTAATTTCTCTGAAGTGAGCAACCTATTCCTTCTTTAGAGTCTGGGCTTAGTCTGGAGGTTTGCTGAAACCTGTTCACTTTGGTGACCCTGCTGGTATTTCTAATGCCAGTGACATAACTCCCAGTATCACCGCACCACACGAGCGGCCACAGTATGACACACGGACAGACAAGTGGTGGCCAAATGCTATCCCACTTCATGATCCTTGATATCAGTTAATTACCATTCCTCACACAGCCTCCCTCCCATCCCAGCAACTCTATGCAATGTGTCATAGAACTCAAGAAGTCTTAAGGAAATGATTCATTAAGAAAATGACTTATTTTTATAAGAATATGTAAACCAAAGGTATTACTGAAGCACCTATAATTTTAGTTGGATTATACTATAATTAACGTCTGCATTCCCATATACCACTTTCTAACTCCCCCTGTATCTAAGTCCAAAAGTATTGCTACCAGGGTTTCAGCTCATACAGGTGTGTCTTGATTACAATCATCATGTTCAAACATGTGTCTGGGCAGTTGATGGCTGCCACACATTCTATCAGCAATTCACTCATCTCGGTCTTGTTAAGGTGCCTTCAAAAAAATCCAAACAATAGCTCCCAAGGGAACCCATGAGCCAATTAAATTCAAGGCAGAGTGATCGGTTCAGACGTTTATGGTGAGTGATTTGGGGCATTCTAAAGGTGCAATTGGGTAGATTTTCTCAAAGGTAGAAGTTTCGAGAGACTTGAACATGGCATTGTGAGAAAGGGTCAGGAAAGTCGGGCCAAAGAACATTTCTCCTTGATGGTGACCAACCTGCTCATTCTTTGAGGACAGCAAGGCTGTCCTGTGAGAAAGGCGTTGGGAAACCTACATGCAACAAGCTGATCTGCTTACACCTTCCCACCCCGATCTTACACCTTCAGACTCAAGACGCATTGCAAAGGAACACAGTTTGAGTCCCGAGAGGGACTGTTTTGATATGCTATAAATCAAAGAGCACAAAACTCTTCAGGTAAGAATTAAAGAGATGGGAACCATGACTTCAGACTTATATAGACCTATATGGGGGTAGAAGCATATGTTGAGAAACAATAGCATCACAGTCTGATTTAAAAAACAAAACAAAAACCGTATTGGCATCCTGTTGAAACCCTTGACTCATGGAGACCCTATAGGACAGGGTAGAACTGCTCTTGTGGGCTTCTGAGGCTTTAACTTGTAGAAAGCCCTGTCTTTCTCCTGTGGAGCAGCTGGTAGTTTCAAACTCCTGACCTTGTGGTTTGCAGTCCAATGAATAGCCCACTACACCATCAGGGAAGGAAGGAACTCACATTGTGATACTTTCATTAAGGATTCTATTGTTGTCTAGCAATACTTTTTGACTGACCCTTGTATGTTCAATATTCCTTATAGGAAAAGAAGGGATATATGAGTATGATTTTCCCCCTTGGGGTCAGGGTGGATTCTTCCATATGTGAAAATAAGCATGTACCACACTCTCTCACTCACTTCCCTCGAGACAATACTGACTCACAGGGACCCACAAAGGAGTTTCCAAGACTCTAAGTGTTTCTGGGAGAAGAGAGCCCAGTTTGGGGCCCTTGGAGCTGCTCGTGGTTTTGAGCTGCGGACCGTGAGCACCATGGTCCAACCCAGAACCACTGCACCACCCAGACTCCATAAGCATGCATCATGCAATGTGCAAAAAATAAAGGAATACCTTGGGTTTCCTCTTTTCAGGATCTGTTGGCATAGATAATGCACAAGGTGAAATCAGCTCCTTGGTTCTTGGGAAAGAGATGGGAGGCGATGGGGTGGCAACCCATAGAGTGTGGCCAGATACTGTGCTTTGAGAGCTCCCAGGTCTTGAAGGCAACGTTCTGCCGCCACAAATGGGATGCACTGCTGAGGAGCTGAGCTGGAGGGCCTGGCCAGGCAGATTAGCAGGAGGGAGAGGGAGAGACCCCAAGTTGGGAAGAGAGGCAGAACTGGAACTCGAAATAGGGGGTGCAGAAGAAGCTGCAGGCTTCTGCAGTGGGCCAAAGAGCTGTGATTCTGCTGACTTGGATCTGTTTATCATGTTTGAGAGAGCTGGAGACGGCTGGAAACTTTTCTCTGCTGAGTATTGCGTAGCTCTTCGGGTAGTAGGAGAAGATAGAGAAGAGGATGCCGTGGAGGCTGGGGTGGAAGGATGTGTGTGAGGTCTGGGTACTTCCAGATCCCTGATGTTCGCATCCTCTTTGCTCTTCGAAGGAGAAAGAGGAGAAGCGCTTGGTGGAGCAGGAAAACGCTTGGCAGAGCTCAGCAGATCGGTTGGTAGCAGGGAGGGTGCTGCGTTGCTCTTCAGAGAAGTGGGTGATAGTGTTTTCTCTGCACGGGACAAAATAGGGCTACCACGAGTTGGCTTTATAGGAGAAAGGGAGGGTGTCAGAGAAAGTGGGGTAGATTTGGTGAAAATGGGTAACTGAAAGGATTGCTGGGTAGATTCAGAAACCTGGTGTCCCCCTTGCTCTGTCCCTGTACTGAGACAGCAACTTGAGAGCGATTTCTTCGGTGTGGGTGGGGTTTCCTTTACTTTTTGATCGAGTGTGAGGGTGGAGGAGGCCAGAGAGTTGAGAGAGAAGGTGGGGCACGATGCAGGGGAAAATGGTCTCTGGTGTGAAGGGGTTGACTTCAGAATGGCCGTGAGAAGGGAAAGTCGAGAAGGGACTGGGGGTTTCCCCCCTAACTTTGTGAGATTTCCACTAGATGAGATTTGGCTACAGAGTGTGGAGGAGGAGCCATGGAGGGAGGAGGTGAACGGTTTGGGACTCGGAGAGAGGGAGTGTGTGATGATACGAACTGGTATGTAGGAGGCTGGATTCCGTTTGGGAGACGTATCGGAGGAAGGCGAAGGAGAAGAGGGAATCAGACTTCCTCTGGCGCCAAGAACTTGGGAGGTTAGCAAGGTTGTCTTCTTCAGAGCTTCAGGCATCCATTTCTGATCAGCTGCCCTTGGACGGGATAAATCAGAACCTGGCAGCTGAGTAGAAGGGGGAAATGATAACGGCGAGGAGATGCCTTTTGATGCCAAAGAGGGTAAAGAGTGAGCAGTAGTTTGAAAATAAGTAGCTGTTTCTTCCATCAAAACTCCACTGCCATCATCCAGCCGCCTGGTATGCAACTCCTCAAGGACAGAGGTGCAGCCGCGGTTAACTGGGTCAGGTTGTGCTTTCTCATTAGTGGCAGAAACAAAGGAGAAAGCAGGTGGTTTACGGGCAAGCTGCTCAGAGGTAGTGGGAGAAGAAGTAAACTAGAGGAAAGAGAAACAGACAGATTGAAACAGGACATTACTTGTGAAACCATCAAAATATTCCTATCACTTGTGTGCAAACAGCCTTTCTAGCTGAGTGCATGAGAGAAGACACGGAAACCGCCAAAAAAAAATAAGGCGATTCTGTTTTGCTAATGAGGCATCATTGCGAATTTGAAATAAAATATAAATAAATGGTGACGCATTCTATCTCATACCAGATTTCCACTTCAAAATAAAAATCACCATAAAATTGCATCGCATGTTTCCATTCACTGACAAGACCTAAAATATTTATCTTCATGTGGAATTGTGTGATTTGAAAAGATCTTAATCACCATCAACATAAATGTCAGAAATGTACATTGGCATAAAAACACGTTTTCCTCCACTGTCGGAATATATAGCATATCATGACGATGATGCATATGGTCCATAAATGTTTGAACACACAAGTGTTTCAAATTCTGAAAACTTAGGCTAATCCTATGTATTGTAAACTTTAGAAACCATGCCCAGAATTCAAAAGACGCAACACCTAATCTGTGTAGAATGATAAATTGAAACTGAAAAGAAAGAAAAGGAAAGAAAGAGGAAGTTTGGGGCTTGTTAAAAATAGAGTCCTTAAAATTACGTGCCAGAATGACCAGGTAACAAACGACTTGGTATGATGGAAGTGCAGCAGGAGAAGCCAGAGTGCTTTACAAATCCACTCTGCCTGGAACAAGGCAGCCCCGGAAACCTCCACTAACATAGAGAAAGATCAAGAAAAGGTGTATCAACTTACAAGACAGGCTAGGTGATGTCATGAAATAATAGGGTGTTTGTGCTGTTCTAAAAAAATCATTCCATGTTCTACAAGTATGAAAACCATTCATCATTCTGAAGCCAAATCTTTCCAATAGAATGTTGGGTGTTTTTTAATTATTCAAAAATTATTGATTTGATCACATCAAACGATGAGAAAGGACAAACACTGTCTAATAAGGTGTCAGTTGCCACTGAATTGATTCTAACTCCTGGCAACAGCATGTGTGCAGAATAGAATGACTCCATAGGGCTTCGGAAGGAGGGAGTCTAGGAGCAGATTTACCTCTTCTGAGGCACCTCCAGGTAGGCTGAAATTGACAGTCTTTCAGCCAGCAGTCCAGTGTTTAACCATTTGTCTTAGAATTTAGGGAGTGTCATTCTTCAAAATATTATTGACTATTTATTAAGTGCCAAATATCAACGCATATGTGTGTGCATATATGTATTTAGTATGCATCACTCATAGGTCAGGAAAATGACTATTTCCTTTTCGTGTTTGGCACTATGGGGGAGATGTTGGACTCTTAACCACAAAGTCACCAGCTGAGAAAGTCACCAGCTGAGAAAGAAGAGGCTACCTGCTCCTTTGAAAATCGAATTAACAAATAAACTTAACAAACACTTAGTCTATAAGTACAGCTTTTTCAAAAAAGATATCTGGATGTTACTTTATAGTATGCTAAAAATATTCCCATCAGATTTTCATACCATTGAGTTTTGAGTTCTAATAATAGTTAAAACTGGTCAATTTAAATAGCACACCCCAAGCTTTTAAACTTCTGCACAAACATACCCAAAATATTTCTTTCTTTTATATACACAATATGTGTATTTGTAACACAGAGTTCTTCCTCCACAAATGATATTTGATTGAATATATTAGCATAGTCCAGAATAGCCACAAATCAGAGATAATTGAAAATCAGGCACAATTCAATCAAAGTGAGAATGAAAACTTAGCAATTCCTTCACACCCTTCGCACATGCTTTATTTGGAAACAACTCTGCTTAGTTGGTTATTACATAACTGACTCAGTTGGTGAGATGACAGGTTTACAACAAGAACCACTATGTGGGCAGCCAAATGTGCCTGTCGCTACAGAACGACAGTATTTTATTCAGGGCTATGTAATCATTCTCGTGGGGTTAATAATAGTGCAATAGTGCATGACGTTTGTAAACAAAATGGAAGGTCTTCACTAACTGCTTCCGATGGGCCGCCTCCCCTCACACAAACAATGGGGACATTTCAAGACTGCAGGGTGCCTTTGCTGATTGTCTGACAACTCCAGCTTTCTGCCACAGGATAGTTGGTAGGTAATGAACTTTGTAAATCAATAAGAGCATCCACAAAATGATCGTTACCTTTTTGGTCACACTATTTTCAAATGAGTTCAATTTATAAGACAATTCGTCCTGATTCTACTCCAAACTGCCATTCTGTTAAGAATAAGGGACCATCAACTTTAGAATCTCTTTAAGAGGAGCTGATTGTTCCCTCCAAAGTCCTTAAGACTAAGACCTCTCCCTAGGAGTTGAAGTCAACTCGATGGTGGTGAGAAGACTTCAAATTATCAAACTTTGTATTACATTAAGTCATATGTTACCTAACATAAATAATGCAGAGTTTGTTTTGAACATTAATATCGAAGAACTTTTCAGGTTTGGCATCGCGGGTGAGGTGTTGGGGTGTTAGCCACAAAGTGAGCAGTTCAGAGGCATCAGCAGAGAAGAAGACGCGGTCTGCTTCCATAAAGGTTTAAAGTCTCGGAGATCCCAGACCGGGCCGGTCTATGGGACTGAGAATCAACTTGATGGCGTTAGGCTTGGCTTTCGGTTTAGTGCACACATTACAATGAACTAAAGGCGCTTTCTTCCTAGCGGCGCCTTGTTTGTGCTATCCAGTCTCATGGTGCTCATCCCTGCTACTTTTAGGTTTCAATAATATTGTTTGCAGTGCCAACCTTCCTACCTGTATTGTCAACATCCTACCCATCTTTGTGTCTCACAGATCCCCTCTCTCCTGGCCAGCCTGGAATAAATCCCACAAGCTGCCATTGTGCCATCAATCTAGGCTACTTCGTGGTGGTGTGAAAAGACATGAAACCGCCAGGTTCCCGAGCAGCCCCATGACACTGGCTTTAGGACTTGTGCCCTACAGGACAGCTGAAAGGGGCAGGAGGGGTCTGAACCTCCTGGTGCCTTTTTCTAATTGACAAGGGAGGTCGTATAGAAGGGTGTCATCACAAATGCACGATGTATAGTTTCAGTGGAGGAGTCCTGTCCCTCTCCGTGTGGTGGTTTGCTGGCTTGTAGTCTTTCCTTTGGTTTTGTTTGAGCCTCTGCTTCCACTCCTGTGCTCCACACCAGCTCTCCCAAAAAGGCTAGACCACTCTACTAATCCGTTCCTCACCACCTGCCCCTTTGTGCTCCACAGAGGACCGACGTTCCTTCTCTCCAAGCAGAATGGAGATAACCAGGCAAGCTGCAGTTTTATATATAGATCCACCCTTATCCCCGTTCCTTCGTTCTAAGGGAGATATTAACCTTTCTTCTTTTAGAAAGGGAATGTATCCCCATGTTCTCTGCTTCACAACAGCTTTAACCTTCTTAGGAATCTCATTTCATTCTTTATCTTTTATATCCAGGGTAGTCACCTTTTTTTCTTTTTATTACTAACTTTCCTAGCATACATACAAACCCCAAATACCCCTGCGCTTCTAAAGTATTGTATTAGTCTGGGTAGACTAAAGAAACAAATCCACAGAAACTCATCTGTATATAAGAGAGAGTTTTATATAAGGGATAAGTGTATATTAAGAAAGCATTCCAACCCAGTCCATTGAAGGTCCATAAGTCCGACATTAGACCATAGGTCTGACACTGATCTATAAATTCCTCCTCAGTCTCGCAAAACACACACAATAACGCTGAATGCAGGAGAAAAGCCAAATCAGTGAACGTGTAAGCATCTCAGCACTGGCACAGGTCTCCACATGACTTCTCCAGCACCCAAGGCTGCATCAGGGTAGGTCCATGTGGCTTCTCCTCAGGGATGTCTCACAGGGGGTCAGCCGTGCCAGCTGAGGCGAAGAACTAGCCATGATAGCCACACACTGGTCTGACCATCAGAGAACAAGAGACCAGAGAACCAAAAAGGTGAGGTTCACCAAGCCATTTATCTATCCACCCTTCAATTAATCCCACGTGTGTTTATCAGTCAGGTCGGCACAATAAACCTTAACTATCACAATCCACCCCTTGTCCACTTGGCACCTGTACATAATTCTTGAGCCTAACAGTTACAGTTAAGTAACACCTACACCTTAATCCTATGAATATATTCCCCCACCTGTGAAAGTTTGTAAGCCAACCAATTCATGCCTTTATCCCCACCAATTTTGGGTATCCAATTTCTATACTGCCCGCTTACATCAACCCAGTGCTCTGAGGAGACAGTCATATTTTTCTATGTGAAGAATCTTTATTCCAGTTGGAACCTTGTGAAGTCCACATCCATAAGCAAAGTCAAATCAGGACAGGCCATCCATCAAGTCAGCAACCTGTTCACAGGCTCAAAAATCTCTTCATCTGGTCAGGTTCTGGTCAACTCAATGTGGTCTACCTCACTTAACCTCTCCAGGGTGCCCATTGGTCGCCTTGCCTTTAGACCATGGGCTCTCACAAATATTCAACAAGCCTAGTCCCCTTGTGCTAAGTCATGAACTTTAGACCATTCAACCTCCTCTCATCTTCTCCTTTTTTATACTGCAAACCAAGTCCACAAGTGTCAGTGGCCAAACTCAACCCATCTCTTTATTGCTGCATTTCTCTTACGTCCACTCAACAAGTGGGTCCAGGTGGTCACCTAGCAAGCATTTCAGCCTGCCCACAGGCTCCCTTTAATGTTCAGTCCCAGAGAGGAGTTTTCTTAAAGTATAAAGTTAAAAATGAAACTGCAATGGGATGTGAAAATGCCCACAATGTGTCCTGATTCCATAAAAATGGAGGAGAATATCTATTTGGGGGCAAATGTATGGAGTTGGGATCGATGTGATCCTGGCAAATGTGTTAGAAGCATATGCGTGGAAAGCATTTGCACATGTGCTTGCTGGCCTGCTGGGCAGGGAAAACCAGTGAGTGATTCCAGGCTAGGCTGTCAGAGGATAGGAAAGCACACCTCAGCAGAC